TCTAGCCTGCTATGACATTTTAAATTTCAAAATGTAATAAAATCACAAGTTATGCCAGAAAGCCACAGTACTTCTCATTGAATATAGTATCTCCTTGGTGTTCGTGTCCTTCTCTTCTTTCATAACTCTGTGTGCCAGTATTTCACCAAATCTATCAACTCTTTTAAGGCAGAGACTACATTTATTTATTTTTTAACTTTTTGTTTGAAATAACTTTAGACTTAGGAAAAAGTTGCCCCAAAATACTACTCTGATTTTCATGTACCCTTGATGCAACTTCCCCAAATGTTACCATCTTACATAACCGTAGTACAGTGAAGGAAACAGAAATTGATGTTGGTACAATAGCATCACTAACTAACCTAAATAACTTATTTCAGTTTGCTGATTGTCCTACTAGTGTCCTTTTTAAAGCCCAGGATCCAGTCCAGAATCCCATACAACACTTAATTGTGACGTCTTGTTAGTTTCATCTAGTCTGGAGGAGTCTTTCTATAATTTTTGCAACTTAACTGCTTTTGAAGAGTCCTGATCAGTGATTTTGTACAACATCCCCAGTTTGAGTTTGTCTGATGTTTTCTTAGGATAAGAATTACCATTGAAGTTACGTTGTGCTCTTCCCAATGGTTTTTGTTTTTTGTTTTTTGTTTTTTTTTTGAGAAGGAGTCTCCCTCTGTTGCCTTGCTAGAGTGCAGTGGCACAATCTCGGCTCACTGCAACCTCCGTCTCCTGGGTTCAAGTGATTCTCCTGCCTCAGCCTCCTGTATACCTGGGACCACAGGCACACACCACCACACCTGGATAATTTTTGTATTTTTAGTAGAGACAGGGTTTTGCCATGTTGGCCAGGCTGGTCTCGAACTCCTGACCTCAGATGATCTGTCTCCCACCTCTGTCTCCCAAAGAGCAGGATTACAGACGTGAGCCACTGCCCCCGGCCCCCAAAGTATATCAGAGGGTATATGATGTCAGTATATCTCATTGCTGTTGATCTAAGTTTTGGTCACTTAGATAAGGTGGTGTCTACCAGGTTTCTCCACTGCAAAGTTACTATTTTTCCCATTAGAATTAATAAGTACCTTGGTGGGAGACGCTTTAAGACTCTGCAAACATCCTGTTTCTCATCATACTTTTGCCCATTAATTTTAGATTCTATTGATGATTCTTACCTGTAACGATTATTAATGTTTGCTAAATGCTGATACATTTTATTTCCATCATTCCTTCTATTTTATAAGAATTCTATTGTAAGGAAGAGCTGTTCTTTCTTCTGCCGTTTATTCATTTATTGTGTTAATGTGGAGATATAATTACTATAATTTTTTTCTCAAAATATCTCAGATTTGGCCATTGGAAGCCCCATCAGACAGGCTCTTGTCTCCTTTTGACACATCCCCGTCATCTTTTAAATGCATTTTGTAACTCTGGCATCACAAGATGTGTCAGTCCTAGAATCAGTAACTTCTCCAAAGACCCTAGTTCTTTGTACTGGAGATTGGTATTTAGAAACAAAATCTGGGTGCTGGATATGCTCATTGCTACTGGTATATCATTGCTTCTAGGCCCTCTCCTTACAGTGCTAGGAAATAATGTGTCTGTATATACACATACACGAACATGTGTCTCTCTCCCTCTCTCTCCATATCTGTATACCTATGAATATTTATCTACCTATTAAAAGCAATAAGTTTATCCGCTTATTGATACTTCCACTTACAACTCAATACCACTAGTTTCCTTTTAGATATCTCTTTTTCCTTACTCGCGGCTTTTTCTCCAACAGTTAGAAACCTGGCATTCATTATCTACAATATATTTACTTATTTGCTCAACCCTAGTATATATGTAAAGAAGTTTCAGAACTGTGATTTCCATAATCCCTATGAGAAACAAGTTTACTAGAAAGACTATATAGTGTTTGGGTACAGTCCTTTTTGTCTAGTCTTAAGGTATATAATAAAAGTACTGATTTCCAAAATTAGGTTAGATATTTTCTTTCTTACCTCTTTCATGGTGGCTGTTGTTTTTCATTTGTAATACAGCTAGGTTCTTTTGTTACTGTTTGTGTTCCGTTTTGGGTTCCCTCAATACCGACAGGTTGGTTTTAATTATTATTTATTTGGGGGATGTGAAACATGACTATAGTTCTTAGAGTCTGAACTCTGTGAAAAGGGGCCGGGCACGGTGGCTCACGCCTGTAATCCCAGCACTTTGGGAGACCGAGGCGGTTGGATCACTTGAGGTCAGGAGTTTGAGACCAGCCTGGCCAACATGGTAAAACCCCTTCTCTACTAAAAGGACAAAAATTAGCTGGGCGTGGTGGTGGGCACCTGTAGTCCCAGCTACATGGGAGGCTGAAGTAGGAGAATTGCTCGAACCCAGGAGATGGAGGTTGCAGTGAGCCGAGATCACACCACTGCACTCTATCCTGGGTGACAAGCTAGACTCTATCTCAAAAAGAAAGAAGAACTATGTGAAAAGGCATTTCAGAAAAGTGTCATCCCACCTTATCCCTTCTGTCACATCTCACTCTCCCATTCTTCCCACCCCATTCCCACCCACCCCATAAGTAACCCGTTTAGTTTCTACTTTTTTTCTCCTGTATTTCTTTTTGCACAAATAAACAGACACATATGTTTTCTTATACAGAGATGATATTCAGTGTCTTTTTTTGTGGTACTGGGCAATTTAAATGCTGTTTGGTAATTTTAACTCTTAAGGATACTGTTTATAATTGGACTGTCCTTACTGCCAATATATTAGAAAGCACACTAAATGATTGTTTTCTTTCTTGTAAAATATTTGTGGAATTTTTAAAAAAATGAAGATGACATGAATTTTGATGGGCTTATTAGCACTGAACTATTTCTTGATAAGAGTTGTCGAAAAAAATGAGAACATAAAGCAAGCAACGTTTTTCAAGTTTTCTTTAATGCATTACATCTTTTTTCGCAAGGTATTTTAAAATTTTCTTTCTCCTTGTTGAGTGAATTGAATTATTTCAAGCATCAATGAGAGCTGCTAGACTGTTAATTTCGGGGGTCTTGCACAGTAGCTTTTCTTACACGTAAAAGCAGAAGAAAACATTTTCCCAAGTCTGAAAAGAGGGCTAGGATGCATTTCATTGTGCACTCTGTTTCTTCCCACATACTCTGCAGGCATTTGGGCAGTCCTTCTCCATCCACCGGAAGGTTGCTGAAGATGGAGAGACTCGGGAGGAAACGCTTCTGCAGGAGTCAGCATCAAAGGAGGCTTATTATCTGGGGAAGATCTTGGAGATGCAGAATGAGCTGAAACAGAGCCGGGCTGTGGTCACTAATGTACAGGCAGAAAATGAGAGGCTCACCGCTGTCGTTCAGGATCTGAAAGAGGTAAACAAACGAATTCCCTATGAGAGATTTGTGAGAGGGAGAAATAAGAAAGTTCTCTCCATAGCAGAGAGGAATAACACTTTTGATTTAATCAGAGGAGCTGTATTAAGCACAAAACAACTAATACTGAGCTAGCAACTTCTCCGTATTTTTTAGTGAAATGATAGCTAGCTTGTTCTGAGATGAGCTTTTCTCTCTTTTATTGTTTCTTGAGAATTAAGTTTTGTATGTATTGTGGACTTGGGAATTGGCCTTACTATTTCTGCAAAGGTGTTTTAAAAATACAGTGACCTTAGCACTTCCTCCCTGCATTACCTGGTTTAATACAATGTGGAGAAGAACGGTTGGCTCTAATGTTCTGTATCAGCCCCAATTCCAACTGACAGTGGTGCTGGCTCAGGACACTGCTCACAGGGAATGACAGCCTAGGCGAGTGTCCTGAGAAGTCTTCGAGTCTGGTGATGCAGATCTCCAAACTATTTTTCTGGTTATAGAGAAGGCAGCAAATTACGGCTGGAATGAATTAGGTCAGGGAGTCTCTCTCGGTCTGTGAGTGTTGAGCATCCACCGAACTCACTATTCCTTGTTAGATTTTCCAAGGCAGCATCACCTGCCATATCATTTTCAGACTGGCAGAGTCATCCTTTAGTGGATGATGTTGGAAACAGAGATAGCCAAAAGTAGCTTCATCCATCAGACCCCTATAAGAGCATTTTTGGAAACTATATTCAATCATTCACTCTGTATTTTGATATGAAGACTGTAGAAGAGACGCAGATGTCCTCTAACTCCTACACCAATGCAGTGGTGATTGACAGGTCCACAACCAAATGGGCTTACTAGTTGAGCATTTTAGTGATAGAAATATGTAGGATGAAAATATTCTTCAATATTGTAAACTATAAGAGAAGTAATCCACATTTGAAATAAGTGACATATTGCAAATAGGGTTTCACTTTCATAAGATATAAGTTGTCCGGAATTTATTGGAATTTTCTAGATAATTTACATTTACACATGTTCATATTACAATGAACTAATGAATACTGACAGCAAGGTTTCTGGTTTACTTATCTCATTATCTTTGGATATGCCCAAATATAGCAATATGACTTGTGAAGACAGAGAAAGGATCCAGTCAAGTGGAAGTTAGTGTTGAGTACTGAGAAGAACATGAGACAGTTTTCAGGATACCAGGGCGTCCTCATTTCCCTCCGACGTGAACAACTATTAAAACCCCAGCTACTCTTTGGTTCCTTCTTTCTGAGACAGGGTGTCACTCTGTTGCCCAGTCTGGAGTGCAGTGGCACAATCCAGCATCCACTGCAGAAGTGGACAGAGGGTCATGTGGAGCCAAAGCCCACCATTCTGGATTAAGCAAGTCACCAAACATTTGCAGGGAGCAACCTCAGCAGCCATGAGCAGCAGGGTCACGTGCAAGTTGGCAGAGAGGGCGTAGCATAGGCAACATGAGGACCATGTGCACATGCATGCAGGTGGTTTATGGAGAAGAATGTGACCAATGAGTAGAGCAGTCTTGATGGCTAGTTGGATGGATCCTCTGAGAGCTGCAATCTCCGTTGTGTAGCAGCTGCAGCTGAGCCAAGAACAGCCAAGGTTGAGGATGGGGCAGGGAATCCACAGATGCTTTTCTGGGTGAGTCAAGGTGGTGATGATTGATGGAGCATCCTCACTTACACAGCCGCGCTTGAGGGCAGTTCCAGTGAGTAGATTTATGATGAGTGGCAGAAGTTAATTAAGCATGAAGTTACAAGTTAGGAATGAATGGAGGCAGCAAAAGAAAAACAAATTGAAGAGCCTTTCATTCAGATCAGTTCTCAAACTTGAAGGAACATCTGAATCACCTGGAGAACTCATCAGCCCATGAACTTGGGGCCCTCTCCCAGAGATTCTGATTCAGTAGATTGAGGTAGGACCCAATAATTTGCATCTCTAACAAGTTCCCAGGTGATGTGGGGGCTGCTGCTCTGGAAACCACATTTTAAGAACCACTAATTTAGATTTTTTGGCCTGTCAAAGTTGAGGAAGGCTCACAATTGGGACATTGCTATAAGCACCATGATCTCCTGAAGAAATCAATTGGTTGTGACCCTTCAATTTTTATGCATTTTTGATAGTAGATTTGCAGTAAGAGAATAACTTGTTATATCCACATTTAGGTATTTTTGATCTAAAACAGCTTGAGGCACTTTAGCCTATGAATGTGTTTCTTCAGATTTGTCAGGTAACTAAAAGAAAATAAAAGGTCTTGTGTTTCATGTGTGCCCACAATGTATTTGTTAATGTTCTTTCTGATGGGGTGAGAGCTGGTAATATTACTATAACCGTGAGTTTTTGTTTTTGTTTTTAATCCAGCAGATACATTTTATTTTGCTGTACCTAAGATAATTATTATTAACATTTAGAGCTAACATAAAAGGAGAATAGGAATAGATTCTATTTTTTGGTGTATTGATACAGACTTTTAATGGTTGGTATTAAGTTGAAATCTCAGATTTGATTTCCTTGTAAGCTCAGTTTTATTTTTTGTACTATATGCATTAACTGATGTACAGCGATTGGAAGAGAGATCATGTAACTTAGAACAGTTATGACATAATGGACCATGAGAAATGTGCAAGGATAACCAACCCAAAATATAGTAAATGATCAGTTTGATAGAAGCTGTGTATTTAATAACTTAATTAATGGGATCATTTTTCTTTACTAAAAGGACTCATTTCCTGTTTCAGTAGTATTGTTGTCCTGGCAAAGGTGTGTGTGCATGCATATGTGTTGGGTGCAGTGTGAAAGATTGACCTGTGTGTGTGTGTGTTTGTGTGTGGTTACAATGTCAAATTCTCTTCCATAAATAGTAGTTACAGGATAGTATGGTGAAAAATGGAAAAATTACTGAATTAGGTTTTAGAAAATCAGTATTCTAGTCAGCTCTGCTGAAAGTTTTAGTATTAAATTCATGATGTTTGTAAAATTTATATTAAGATTATATTGATATAGAGTGAATACGTAATAAACATAAGCAATTATCATTAATAATGTTCTGTGTCCTCCAAAAATATCATTGACAATATAACTCATTATGTAGATCTATATTCTTAGGGTAAGAGACATGAGATAAATATCTCTTTGAATTTATCACCTCAAAAATTCTTTCTATCATGATGTGAATCAGGCAGTAGAATTACACATTTTTATTTCTGCCTTGACTGTTAAGAAGCTCTGGGGCTATGCTTAAGTATAAAACACTAACCTAGGTTTTTTTTAAAAATCTATTTCTCACTTTTAAACATTTTTATTAGCCTTATGGTACATATGAATTTAGTGGTAAACTGCTTTAAATAATTTTACAGGCCGGGTGTGGTGGCTTATGCCTGTAATCCCAACACTTTGGGAGGCCAAGGCGGGTAGATCACAAGGTCGTGAGCTCAAGATCAGCCTGGCCAAGGTGGTGAAACCCCATTTCTACTAAAAATTTAGCCAGGCATGGTGGTGGATGCCTGTCCCCAACGACTCAGGAGGCTGAGGCAGAGAATTGCTTGAACCCGGGAGGCAGAGATTGCATTGAACCGCGATCGTGCCACTGCACTCCAGCCTGGCGACACAGCGAGACTCTGTCTCAAAAATAATAACAACGATAATAATTTTATAAAATCCAGGGAGTATAAAGAAAAACTGGTTACCCAAATTGGAGAACCAAATTAATAGTTAAACTTAACCTAATTAGGAGTTAATCCTACAGGGCCAATCATAGACAGAGTGAAGAAATCTCTGAGTTCTCTTGACACAGCATTATTTTGGTAAGAGCATAAAGAAAGCAGATTGCTGTAGGGTGTAAACAGA